TTGCAGATAGTCATCTCCGTTTTGTTTGTTTTACAATTTAATTTAAACACTAGTTTATTCCAATGTCCTGGGATTTTTTAAATTAAAACTTGAACAGAACTGTACATATTGCCTCTGATTAAAGATCTCGTGTAGCGGCTTAGTTTAGGGATAATTCTTTAGGCTTCATGTATCAATCCCAAAAGTGCGTGAATCTAGAAGGCAACATGAAGAGTTGACTACAGTTTATTATTGGACAGTGGAGATCACAAAGATACAAGCACACCAAGTGAATTCGAACAGAAAAGCTTAGACTCGAGAGTAAGCGAATACAGAGGCGAATTCAGAGTCAAATCAATCAGTATGATTCAAGCCCATATATATATGAAAAAGAGAATGGTTCATCAAGAAACTAACATTTAATGAAGAGAGAGGGATATGTGAATAGGCTGTCATATGTGATCAACTATACGTTATCATACAGACATGATCGTAATAATCATACAAAGATATAGACGAATTGTTTCTATTCAAATAACACCGTCTGTTAAATAAGTTGATTCAAATGCTTGATAACATTAACCATAAGCAAATTTAATTATAGGAGTGATGTTTTACTTATAAAAGCTTCTATATCATTAGTACTCTTTGAATATATACTAATTGTAAGAATTCATAAAATTATTTTATTGTGAAATATGTATATATCGTCTACAATTATGTTGTTACTATGCCGACTAATTTCTTTTAACAAGAAATTAACCGCATTTTATGTTGTTGACTGACTTTTATTGATTTTTTACAATAAAGTTTCATCAGTACATTTTCGTATTTGGTGTACCCTGTTTTTGTTAAAAAAAAACATAATTCTTCTCACGTCGGAACATAATTTTATTATAAAATTTCACATGTATCTTTCCTGTTTACTATCGTTTATGATGCTACTAAGTAAAGAAGTAGTATATTGTTTGTTAAATAAATAGAAGTTGTAATAGTTTATGTCTTATTTATAGGGACTTCATTGTTTTTTTTTTATAGAAAAAAGAAGCATGAATAAAAACCGGAAATTTAACGACAGTCTTTATGTTACAAGAAGCACAAAAAAGAAACGACGGTAAATTGAAAGATTTTTTTTAAAAAAAAAACGTGCATGGAATTTCAACGAATATGCCGAAACTATGCAGTGAAACATTAAGAAAGTTGTATTTTATTCTTTTAGAAATTATAACATTCAAAATTATTAGCTTTCAGGTTGGAAATTAATAAAGATTGTTCAATCGTGAATTCTTATTAAACAACAAGATCTGTGAAACTACTACTACTACTACTACTACTACTACTACTACTACTACTACTACTACTACTACTACTACTACTACTACTACTACTACTACTACTACTACTACTACTACTACTACTACTACTACTACTACTACTACTACTACTACTACTACTACTACTACTACTACTACTACTACTACTACTACTACTACTACTTCTACTACTACTACTACTACTACTTCTACTACTACTACTACTACTACTACTACTACTACTACTACTACTACTACTACTACTACTACTACTACTACTATGGTGTTCACTACTTATACGGACAGATATAAGAAGTATGTAGCGGGAAAAGCAAATGGACTGCTTACCAGTAGAAGATTAAAATAAAGAGAACAGGATAGAAAAATGGAGAACAATCGGATTAACATGGGGATTGAAAGAATGATGAAGTACGTAAAGGATAACTGAAGAAAGGTGTATAAATGATATATTAATTGAATAATTTTGGCAAAGTAACTGTTCGATTTTTCATTAAATGATAAATTAGTTTATTATACATGAGATTCTTTTATTACAATACTACTACTACTAGTACTACCACGACTGAAACCTTGAGATTACTGAATTGAAAAGAGGTGGTGGTAGAATACCACTGTCATAGAATAATCACTTTAGTCCTTCATCTTTCTTGTTACACAGTTTTTGATATTAAAGCTTCAGCTGTTATTTAAGATAAAATTAAAAAGATCAACTTCAAAAAGAAACAGGTTACTACAATATTCAAAAGCTTGACCACCGAATAAAATCCCCTATATTCTTCGAAAATGTTAAATCAGATGTAGGTTATTTAACAAGGTGAAATGTGTATTACTAACTAAGATGTAAGGTGTTAGATCAGTCGAAAAAAACTTTGAAAATGAATCTGTGCTCACTGATAGCAGTTAAATTGCAATTGACAGAACAAGTAGTTAGTTAAGGGTCTTTTGACCAATTCTAATAAATAACCTCTTTAAAATTCCATGCTTATTATGTAGTATATAAAGATGAGGAAAACATTACCATTGATTCATTGAACTCAAATTATTCAACATTAGTATTGCAGTGTTTGCTACTGATGTTGACAGATATAAGTAGTATGATCATCAATCAAAAGTGAAATGCATGGAGGCAGAAGATTTGAAAGATCAAATAAAAGAGAACGATAACAAGAAATGATTAGTATGGTAATAATAGAATAATGAAGTCCAAGACGTTTGATGATTTACATTTTGCAAATAAAGTATTTACTATATGGTTCACATATTTTACTAAGATGTTCTGTAATTTTACATTCGAATACACTCGATTGTCCCCACTTTTGTTCTCGCTCAATTTGTTATGATAGATAATATAACGTTTACTAGTCCACTAAATTCACAGATTGTAGAGCAGTGATAATGTTGAAAACAATTTCGTTCACAATGAATTAAATGAAACCTGAATAAACAAAACTTAATAATTATTACAGATTTACGTTAGGTATTCCTTCTGCATAAATGGCTACTCTGGTTGTCAGAAGGGGCATCAGCCTCGTGGCTTCCGAAGGAACTCGGCTTTCATCATGAGGCGTCATAACTCTTCTAAATCAAAACCCTCTGGCTCCCAGGGCAGAGTTTAAATGGTTTGAATAATTTTTTCTGGTTAGCGTTTTTTAGCGACTTAGTTTTCTACGGGATGGGGTCGCTAACTCCATGTCTAACCCTTCTCCTTCATGTGGGCTTGGGACCGTCAGTAGCCTAAATGTATGTATACCATATATACCATTATTGATTTGAATTACCATTATTCAATATGCACTAATTTAATGAATAATGACACTTTCGTTATAACTGCATATTTAATGGATTATTTATCCTTAAACAAAGTTGTAGTCTAGAAACTTATTGATTTTAAACAAGAATGGTGTATAGATTTAAACTCCAAGTCAATTATCTCAGTTTTTGAAGTGGCATAGTTCTTACGTAATTATGAGACACCTGTATAAACTTCTACTCCGTAAAAATGAGGCATATTATCTAACACCTATTAATGAGATTGTTGTAACTTTAAACCCAGTTAGTTATCCCGTGATTTATTCGTCAATCGAAATATGACTTATTCAATCTTACTATTGTGCTAAATCAATGATATTCGACCGGTATGTTCTTATTTGGTCCTTTGTTCGACTAGCCTGTCCAGTTGAGTTCAGAATGCAAATAACAGCTTCCTTTATGTGAATCGTTTATTTCAAAAATGCTTGGTTTGTATACCAGTCAAACAGACCTCATCACACTATAAAATAGGAAATACCATTTATACAATGTCAAGCCAAAAAGTGGCGACTGTAATCAGTAAACTGAGCATAACTTATAAACAGTAAATCATATAGTAATAATCTATGGGTTAAAATGAAGCTTATAATAAGAGGGATATATATATATATATATATATATATATATATATATATATATATATATATATATAGTTACTGAATAGTTGTATACGATGTTATACAAAAGCATATATTATTGTTACGTTATCTATTACTTCATCCTTAGATGTTATAGTAGAATACGAATCATAGTATTGTTATATGAGCTACTTATATCCACATAAATAGTACATAACGATGATCAGGAATAGAATGTATTTCAGTAGAAGGTCAAGAAGGAAAGAATGAGAACAGAAAGAAATTGATATGAAAATGTAAGAACAATGAAATCTAAGACGATGAACTGCTATTTGTAAAAGAAACAATTAAGTTTGAGATAACTAACTGACATTTTGCAAATGAAGTATCCGCAGTATGATTTTTAGATTTTAGTGTGATATTCTGTAGTTTCGTGTTCAATTATATTCGATTGTCCCAATTTTTGTGTTCATGTTCCCTATAGTATAGTCACTCTACCATAAGTATTATTGAGTAAGCTCATATAACAAAAAGAATAAAACAACAGGTTAACACTGAAATGTAATATTCATATTAAGCTGAAATAATTTCTACCTAAATCATTTAGAATGAAACGAATAATTATTTTGTAAGTAGTAAATAGTACTAGAACATTGTTTGAATAGATAAAAGGAAGACGATTGATTAGATACATTCAATGAAGTTAGTTATTATTCATTGATCATTAATAATTAATTCATAGTTATTATGACAAATAATAATTAATCAACAGAAATAATTATAAATATTAATAAGTATAGTTTTATTCTTAGCTTATTGAATAGAAAAATTATATTTTTGATGTTTCGTAACTTCATTTAATCCACTTCTTCAGAGTAAACAAATTAATAACTGAAATAATATTAACATGAGATTAAATAACACAAAGGAAACAATGCAGAATATTTTTAGTACTATCAAAGTCAGAATAGGTCTGAACATGTCAGTGCCAAGTAATTTTTGGTCAATGTGAATTTGTATGATTTATCACTGTATTGATTTGTGAACCAGAAGGTGGGTATGAAAATTGTATGTATTTACCATGTGAATTAGTATAGTTGAAATTAAGGGGCCACATTGTAACTTGATCGATAAAAATCGATCTCCACTAAGAAAGACCTGACATACATGAAATCAATCACCATCCAGTGATCAATCAATTATCAATTTAATTAGTATCAAATAAAAAAGTACGGATAAATAAATGTGAATGGGAAGAAAATAGAAAGCGAGAAAAAAGAAAAGAAAACATAAAACTTACAGTATGCTGTGTAATTTGCATTAATTCACGTATAGTCATTTTGTGAGCATTTGTTCTATTGATTTGGCTGTGATGATTTAACTAAATAAAATGTTTAAAGAAAAAGAAACAAAATTAATCACTGATATGTAATTAGACTGAAAGATTATTTGATTAAGAAAAATCTGTTTTTGGTAGTGTTGAGTTCTCCAGACTTCCAGAATTGTTCTGAACAACACCTTTAGTGCTTATTCGTGTAGATATCCACAAAAAGAAAGCGTTATTGATGTCTTTTAGAACAATAGTAAGAGTTCAGCAATCAGACTATACAATTCAATGAACGAATTGACACCAAAAGCATTCGGATGAACTCAAAAATATTATTTGCATACACCATATAAATTAGCTTTATTTATTTAAGTGTTTTCTTAAATCAAAGAAAAAAAATATTTCAATACAATATTGTGTAGATTATTGAATTCTATAAAGATCATGAACCAGTCATTGTTAAATCACCAATGAAACTTGAAAACAATAGAGAGCTGTTTCGTCGTTGTGTGAAAATCATCATCACTGCGCACCCATGGTCCCGCATATGGGACTGAAACCTAAAAATATTCATCAATATACAAAATTTACAGATTCTTCATTTTGTAAAGCCACGTTTTCTGTACTAGTTATATAAATAACGAAAAACTAGTTCATATTGCACTTAATTTCTATTAATTCTCAAAACGTATAAACATTATCAGTATAGGGCTTATGGAGATTATTAAGGTTTTGATTGAGATCATGAACCGATTGATGTTAGACCACCGTTGGAAACCTGAAAGCACTGGACGGCCGTTTCGTCCTATTTTAGGACTCCTAAGCAGTGCGCATCCACTATGCTGTTCGCGGGATTCGAACCCAGGGCATTCAGTCTCGCGCACGAACGCTTAACCCACTGGACCACTGTGCCGGCATCCAACATTAAAATTTGTAGTTATTCTAGGAAAGATGACAGGAACTAAATGAAGATAATCAAACATTATGATCCGAATTTTCTTTGTGTGTTTTATAGATATAAAATAAGAAAAATAATATAAACTAATATTTATGAATAATTAATTACTCATGAGATTAGTTAATGTAGAAAGTTAGAATGACTTTGTTAATGTACAAAAATGTAGTAATAAAACAAATTGGTGATAATATCAAAAACCTTTAAGAATAAACTATGATATATATACACTTGCTTTGAGATTACTTTCAGTTTTAAAATAGTTTTCAATGCAGACTAACTTTAATTAAGCCACAATTGAAAACCATGAGCGCGGGTGAATCGTTTAATACCATTATAAACAATTTTATATTTGAATAAACAACAAGGAAGACTTTAGCATTACGTTATGTAATTATTAACTTTCAAAGAATACAGTGGTTCTCAAGAACAACTGTATGTTCTCCAAAAATGTCTTTGTCAGCATGTTCTACCAACAAGTGTAAGATACAGACCTGCAATCAACTGGATGGATAATAGCTGAGCAAAGTGAAAGAAAAACGGTACACCTGATGATAATGGATGCACATTACAGGATCTGCAAATACCAATACGTCATAGAGGAACAAAAGATGAGACTACAAAGGACACTCATGTCAGAATATTTGGAAATCTTAACAACAACTATCGAAATATTATGCAAACGACACTGAGAACAATGAAGTAACTTTCAGATGGTATGACTTTAAATCCATTACTACTATTCTAGGCAGATATAGTAATTTGTCAATAGTTTTGAGAAATCACGGTGTTATGGTGGCAATCATTATTTTTCTTTCCCAGAAATACATTGATCGCCCATTTATGTGGTCATTATAGTCTTTTAAGAAATAGTAGTATGAGAGATTTGAGTATGTGAACAGTAATTAATACACAGTTAATCTGTTAATGTACGCGACAACTTTGTATTTGGTTAATAGTGTTGAATAATATCGTATGTTTGGAATTAAACCTGTAACATGTTATGATTTTGTTTATTTTTAGACTCATCCAGCTATTTTAAAAGTTCTTAACATGAAAATAGCGTCAAACATTTTGTTAATGGCAGTAAGTGAGATAGATGGATTGTGGCTAATAGCAGAAGTCAGGATATTTATGTCGTCATATTTGTAATTTGTCAACCACCAGATATACCTGTAATTAAGTGCTAATGTTGATACAAGGACTCCAGCTCAGTACACTACTTGTTAAACACACAGTACGTTGTCCACATAGGTATTGACTTATACAAACGGTTCAAGTCACGGTGTGAACATCAATACTGATATATACAATTACATTCAGTTGACAAGTCTCGAATATGATGGATCGTGTGCGCTGGAATTCCTTTTTAGTTACAATCGATTTTTTCTACAAATCGTGTGATATTGTGGCTATATGCACGCTTAACCTGTAGACCATTGAGCTGGCATCCAACGATGTTAATAAATCACACGAGAGACCGAAGGTCCTGGGTTCAAATCCGGCGAACGGGATCGTGAATGGGCACTGATGAGGAGTCTCATACAAGAACGATACGATCATCCAGTGCTTCCAGGTTCTCCATGGTGGTCTAGCTTTAATCGATTCATGAATTCAATTAATAAATTAAAATTTATTCATTTATTTTGTAGATTCCCTTCAGCTACTTACAACCTTTACGTAATAATGTAAACCATTTAAAAGATGATGTACATACGTTGTGTCATATTATCATAATTCTTAAAAATGAAGATTGATAAAATGAATTACATTGGATATTTTTGAATATTTCTGTTAAGTAATTGTTCAATAATTTTGTGTCAAACGAAGATAGGTTAAATTGATTTATCTTGGTAATTATCCAATGCAGGATAACCTCTATCAGTAATCATGGAATGGTTTTCTTAATGATATAGCCAAACGATTACTTGAAAACGTGTCTACAATATCGTTGTTGAGCTTTAAGTTATAATATTTATTGTTAGTTTATTTGTGTGTACAAAATTAAATTTTTAATTATCCTATGGTATATTTTTCAGTAAAACCTTGATGCAAAATTTAAGATTGTTGGATAACTTGTTGGGGTCCCTATTTTAAAGGGTCAGATGAAGGGTGGAAGACAGTAGTAAACATTTCGACCAAATATCTTCATCTATTTTATTATTATTTTTTATACAAATTCACAACAGTGACATATGCATACAGACTATTTAAGTATCGAAATTCTGTTTCAGAGACATTTTCAGCTGACTGCAATATATTCAATGGCTAAACAATATAAGTTCTCTTTCTGTTCAATGAATATTGTGGTACTGATAAAACAAAATTGGCTCCATATTGTCATCGAAAATGTTGAGAAAGTTATTTTTAAAGAAAAGAAATGCAATAAAACATTATAAATTGGAGCCAGTTTGTAAAGTTATTCTAACTGGCACCATTTTTATTCAAATATTGTTTACGCTTTATTAACTAGCTAGATTGGTTACGTATTAGAAAGCAGGAGTTAACGTTTCGATATCTATATATGTTGCTTTAGTTAGGCATAGAGTAATGTTGGAAGAGAATTAATATTTGAGTAGCAGAGAAATCTCTTTTAATTTTTTGATCAGTATTAGAGTTACTTCTATATTTGACTTATGATCGTGAGGTGAGTGTTCTTGTGTTCGAAATGACGAATGAAAATGAACTGAATTATGGCATTTACTGAGTATTCACAGCCAAATATATATAACTTCGCCCATAGCTCTTCTAGTGTTACTGTCGGTTCCATGACCGGGTTTTATGAGAGGTTGCTATCGATCATAGAGAGGTGCTCAGGAAAAAAACTTGGTCATTCTGATGGGGAAACTAAACTCCGAATTCGAACTGGACAACACTGGTTGACAAGATATAGTAGGATGACATGGACTGGGAGAAAGAAACCAGAATGATGACAGACTTATTTTGACTCAACAAAATGGTTATTGGTAGCAATATATTCTCACAGAAACGCATGAAAAGCTACATGGGTATTACCGGATCACATTAAAGAGAACCAGATGTGTCATATTTGGATTGCCGAAAACTTTAGAAGGTCGATGGATGCTTCAGATCACTACCTGGTGGTTGCTAAGGTCAAACTGAAGCTAAAGTAGTACTAAATCACTGGAAAAGCGTTTCGAAACTTCAATACAACCTTTCTTTGAGATAGTGACAAACTCAACGAATTCAAGATTGCTCTCAACAAAAATGTTTTAAGCCTTACAGAATATACTTAGGGAATAGGAAGCATTTATGGGGAACAACTGAAGAGGATTCAAACAAACACCAGTCTCAACTTACATTAAGTGCTGCTCTGCGATAAATATCATCGTCAGAACTGGGACGCTATCGAATTCCTGGACACGAACCAAGAATGGAAGAACATGCAAACCTCAATTAACAACAGTCGAACAGCAAAAGAGAAAGCCGATGCACAGACCGAATACACAGAAACAAACGGTCAAGTGAAGAGAAGCATTAAAACCGACAATTCAAAATACGTGGAAGACCTAGCACTGTCTGTGGAGAAAGCTGTAAGTCAGGAATTTGATAATATTGAATAACATCAATGTACTGCAAATGAATATTAATGAATTTGGGTACGGTCTTGGTAGCTGTAGTTGTATTCTCTTTCTGATTTATTCAGCGTTGAGCGTTATCTATTAATGGTTATCAGGACGAGCAGTTTACGAAGTTTAAAAATTATATCAAAATACCAACCGATACTCACTGCTTTTCAATACTTCACATTCATTACTCTCACAGGACTTCGATCATTTTGAAAAGAATTTTGTCTACAACTGAAATGTAATCCAATTTTTTTTTAATTTTTTGATTGAAATCATGAGTCAATTAAAGCTAGACCACCATGAAAAACCTGGAAGAACTAGACGGCCGTTTCGTCCTGGTGTGGGACTATCTATTGTATATCTTGACATATTACTTTAATGCATGAAAAGATTTTTCATGGAGTTCTAATTTTTTACCTGTTGAATTATGTGAACTGTTTATATGATTTATCATAAGAACATACTAGATTTAACTGAATTATAGTGTTAAATAGTTTATTCTTCTTCAA